TGTTGATGTAGAAGAGACATGAAGAAGTGGATTTTGCATAATAGGTGACCTTTAGAGCTAAAGGGTGATATATTTGAAAAATGTCCCTATCACCTTTAGAGTGTCGCTGCTATGACGTATTTTCTTAGGCTGACCCTGAAGTTAGCATCGCAAGGGGGTCGCTAGACAAAAAGCAATGGGGTATCCCCATCCACCGCTGAGCTACAGGCAGACTTGCAAAACATCCTCTGCTTGTGTTAACAACAGACTTTATTTCAGGCTTCTAACCACAAACATTTCCAAAACAACTTCGACTAAGAGACGAGCGAACCCCAAAATGCTAAGTTGTATCCTCTGTTTTAGGACTCATTTCTACACCGTTCTTTTGAGTGTGGGAGAGAAACTCCTTTGGGATTGTACCCGTTGCAGACCATTTACATGCACAGAAACCCATATAACACACTACAGGAAAGGGAACACCCCAAAAGGCATAATAGCAGGGCCTCTTTGAAACTGTAAATGCAGCTGTAGAAAAAGCTTTTTGTTTGCATCAGCATTCCCTCTGTACAGATCTGATTAGCTTGTGGGACAGACAGTACACAGCAAAGAGAGTGGCTGATATCAATTAGACGAAATTAAAAACAGCAACACTGAAATGTTTGTGCTTTAGTCAGCAATTTGAGTCACACAGAAAAAGGCAGAGAAAATAAAGATCTGTGTACAGTATACAGAGGTACTGTACAAACCAAATGGACCCAGTGATTACATCATTTAAAGAAAACACTGAATAAAACAGATTCACTTAAAAAAAATGTGTGTTTCTCAACTCTTGTTCGCTACTTACTGATGTTTGCTCTGTTGTTTCTTTGATCACTTAAGATCCAAACGTACGAGGTCTAAAAATACAGTCAAAATATACATAGTTAGAAACTACCATTTGAATTATAAAATTTAGCTTAAAACCGTATTAAAGTCAATTAAGGACAGCTGGCAGACAACCACANGTGTGCCTTGGCAGTCTCTAGGTTGTTTCTTTGATCACTTAAGATCCAAACGTACGAGGTCTAAAAATACAGTCAAAATATATATAGTTAGAAACTACCATTTGAATTATAACATTTAGCTTAAAACCGTATTAAAGTCAATTAAGGACAGCTGGCAGACAACCACACATATATATACTTTTAAGTGATTTTGTATAGTCAGACACTTTGTAAGGTGACGTAGTCTTGAAGGACAAAAAATTAAACACCAAACCACAAACAGTGATGTCAGCCAAATACAGTCAGTTTAAATAGCACCTGATGGATCAAGGACCACACACACACACACACACACACACACACACACACACACACACACACACACACACACACACACACACACACACACTGGTGCTTTCTCCCTAGTTGAACATAGCGTAGAGCAGCATGCTGTGCCATAAGGCAGCTTGGATTAAGTGTTTCCAAATGTCCCCCAGGTCGAGGGTTGTACTACGAGCTGAACGCTGCAGTCAGCTGTTTGTTAATGCTTTAATTGAGAAGTTGTGTCTGTCAGCCTTGTTATGGGCCTCTTTATGCTAATGAATTACTGAGGAGGTGCTCATTGAAATGTGTTTAGTTGTTTTGGATCGGCACATTGCGTTGAATGAAACAATGGCTGTTGAAGTGAAAGGTTTTTATGGTTCCCCTCGGTTCCTTATAGCAGGTTTAATGGGATCTGAGTCGGGTTCTCTCGTATTGTTTCTGGTATGTGTGTGTGTCCAAAACCTGTCCAATTATACTCGGGACTTTCAGAGGAACTCAAGGTTAGCTCTTGGATCGGGTGTCTTTAAAAACAAAAAAAAGAAGAAGTGCAAATCAGGTTTGATCAGGTTTTCCATGCCTGATCCTGAATATGAGTTTTCTGATACGTCACAGTGATATTTAAGAAGTTAAATATTGATATCATGTTAATAGCACACATCATTTGTGTCATTGGGATATACATGTAGTCTGGAAAGGAATAAACATGTTTGTAATTTATGGAATGACTAAAGCTTGGGGGTTGGATATCGTGTTTTGTGTAAATGTAAATACCCAATCATTGTTGAGAATAGAAAGTAAATACCAAAGTCTTTGTAAACCTTGTGTCTGTGTTTAAATTTATGTAATCATGCAGACGGATAAATCAAGGACAGTATGTAAACAACGTGTGTTTGAGTTATGCTTTTCCTCTCCTTGAATAACCTATTTGTGTGATCTTTACTGGATGTTTATACGGTATTTCTACTGCTGTTTGGAGTAAAGCTTAATTTAAATAATCCAGCACCTCTTAGACAAGGTTCTGTTTCCCTTTGTCTCGTTTTTTTGTTTCCATCCCCCGTGCCCCATATTTAGCCAAAAACAGACAAAACTATAGATGAAACAAAGATAAAGACTAATAATTGATTGTATTAAAATCCCACAAATATTGTTTTCTTTTGGCTAGAATTATCGTAAAATCAGATCTTATATCCTGACAGTCCTTTTCCCAAACATTATACAGTTTCTCCACGAAAAACTCATAGTTATTGTTTGTTTATGTGCATACAAATAGAGTTAACTAGTGTCACAGCCTTGTATCTACAGTCTATGGTCACATCATCAGCACCTCACCACTTTTGTATTGCTCTACTAATCGAAGCTGCCTTGTCCCAGGTCAGTTTGGACAGTGAAGGTCACAGGACCTGCATGAATTTGGACGAGCCCTGTCGACGGGCTTTGCTCTCGTCCCTAAGCCTCCTTTTCTAATCCTTCCCCACAACAGTCTGTCGTAACCCATCTCTAATCTTTCTAATTCTCAAGTTTGACACCAGCAGCGGCTCCACTTTTAAATCTGACTGCTTTTATCTTCTGTGAAACGTCCAGGTTGACGGCGCTCTCACTTTAATGTCTCACAGTGTCTGTAATGTGAGAACCGATTCAAGGATAAGGCTGGAGTTGTTCTAGATTTTCTTTATCAAATCAAATCAAGTTTTATTTATATAGCACATTTATAAACGATTTTCGGTCGAGCCAAAGTGCTGTACATATAATAAAAATAGCCTACAGTAGAGACACTTTACAGCTAATACAACAGCACAGATTGTTCAGAATATCAGTGTGAGAAAAACGACACCCTCTATCCTTTAAATTCTCAATTAATGAAAAAACTATGACCAACAGAGTTTAAATCTGCCAGGGACAAAAGCCCATTGTTCCTACTGAAGACACTATCTCCTTAAAACGTCTCAATAATTGCCTCAAACAGCCGTGCACATGTGAGAGTGATTAGCACTGTGTGTGTGTGTGTGTGTGTGTGTGTGTGTGTGTGTGTGTGTGTGTGTGTGTGTGTGTGTGTGTGTGTGTGTGTGTGTGTGTGTGTGTGTGTGTGTGTGTGTGTGTGTGTGTGTGTGTGTTACTGTAGGGAGTTTTACTAGCAGCATGAGTGAATGTGTGATTAACAAACGTCTCTGCACTTGATGTGTGCTGATGCGTGTTTATTTCTTTCACTGTTTTGAAATCTTCCTTTTACTCCTGATTTCTTTCTCAGGAAGATATATTCCCACAGTCTTTGTTTTGCTTAACCGTTACCTGAAGTTGGATCCACTGAATCTGTCTCGTGTTTTTTGATGTGTGTTGATGCTAATGAAAGAATGTGTCCTCCAGTATGAATCAATCATGTGTTTTCAACCCTTAGATGCCCTTAGAGTGCCTGGACCCTACACTCTTCCATAAGTGGGTCAAAAAGGACCCGTATTAGAATAATATGTGTTTTTATGCCATTTCTGTCATTTTGGTTAAGAAAAATCACTTTGAAATGGCATGATATCCAAAACATGTTTTTTGAGGAATAGCTGGAATATGAAATGATA